TAAAATATAAAATACAGGTCAGCAGGGTTCATTTCCCCTGGCTTCGTCTTGAAAGACGACTTTTTTCACCTCGTTCATTTTCTCTCAGTATTTCCACTTAATTGTTTCTACATTTCCAACTGAAAAGAAAAAAAAAATCTTCCTCCTCAGTCGTTTCCTCCTCCGAGTGTCTGCAACACTGCGTCATAGCGATCAGCTTGAGCTTACTGGAAACTGAATATCGTAGGATGTGCTGAAAAAGGGCTGTTCCTGCCACAAACATTTACAAGCTCCGTGAAAAAGCAGGGCGTTAAGAATTTCACCACAACGTCAGGAGAAAACAGAGAAATTGAATTATAAGTTGCTACCTGATAGTATTTGATTGCCTTGGTCAGGGGTTCCACCTGGACGGTCTCATCGAGCTGATCTTTATGCAGCAAGTCAATGAAATAATCCAGAGAGCGCTCATGGAAGCTCATTTCAGAGTAAAGTGTCCCCATGCGCTTAAAAACCTCCACGCTGCAGCCATTCAGAGCCCTAAAAACAGAAAGAATAAAAACAGCTGGAATCGTTTGTTTTATTTATGTTTAATTTCTGATACGGTGCTTGCGTACTGTTCATATTTGTGCAGCGTGGCCTGCAGCAGGCTCAGGGAGTAAACCAGTCCTGAGGCAAAGCTGCGCTGCTCTCCTGAGGGTCCTCGGAGCGCCGATCCCTGGACCAGACCCCCACTCAGGTCAAACTTCTCCTGGGCTTGTTTACTGATCAGCTCAGCCTTCAGGTGAGAATACACACAATCAGCTGATCAATAACGATTAAAGATGAACCCCTTAGCTTAGCTTGTACTTGTGTGACTAACTATGAAGCTGTGATCTGCTGGGATCCCTTTTTCTTCTGTACTTGTCCAGCATCTTTCTCGTTACACAATTTTTGTGCCATTTCAGCAAATCATAAATCAAAACATTCGGCTCTTTCAGGACAATCCTGCTATGGCTTTTGGTATTGGTGCAACTTTAGCTGTTTGAAATATTTAGCCTTTTCTGACATTTATTTTCTCATAGAAAATGAATTGAGAGCGTTTTCCCTCCTTCAAATCTTTAGATCCGTTTACAACCTTTTACTGCTCCTTTCACATTTTGTTCTGCTTCAGCTTCTTTGTGCAAATTTAAACTTTTTTCAGCTAATTTCAGCTGGTTTTTGCTCCTTTCAGCTTATTTCTGCAAGTTTCAACTTTTTCTAATATTTCAGCAACTATTTAGTGGTTTTATGCTAATTTAAGCGTTTGTTTAATTCCATATTTTTTGCATAATTTCAACTTTTTTCAGTCTAATTCAGCATAAATTTGCTCTCTCCAATTCCTTCTGGTAATTTCCGCCTCTTTCTGCTTTTTTAGCTACCTTTTTTCCCCAAAAAAATTTCTGCTTTTTTCAGCCATATTGGGCAAACATGCGTTCTTTCTGCTTTCTTATGTTAATTTAAGCTTGTTCTAACTTTTCAGCTACTGTTTTAGCATTTTGTTTAGCCAATTTCAGCTGTTTTCACATAAATTTAAATTTTTCACTGTAATTTCTGCTACTTTCAGTCTAATTAACTTCTTTCTGCTAATTTCAGCTTGTTATGCTCCTTTTCGTTTCAGCGCTTTAGCCGTTTTGTGCCAATTTTAAACATTTCAGTTAATTCCACATTTTTTAGCTCATTTCTGCTTTTTCCACTTCCTTCTGGTAACTTAAGCTTCTTTCTGCATTTCCAGATATTTTCTTCTAATTTCAGATTTTTCAGCTAATTTCCTCATTTTTTGTGCTCATTTAAACCTTATTCAGCCAATATGTGTTCTTTCTGCTTTCTTCTATTAACTTAGGCTTGCTCTTCCATTTCAGCTGCATTTCTGCATATTTTTAGCCATTCCAGCTGTTTTTCGGCAAGTTCTTCTGCAACAAGCATTCACTGCATTTTCGCAGGAAGTGCAATTTGTCTAGTTAAAACTGGTTCAGTGGCTCATGCCATATGTTCTTCTCCACCTTGGCCTGGCAGCAACCGGCATTAAAAAGGTGCATGTCATTCTTTGTACCTTGCAGATGAGCCTGGGGATGAGCAGCAGCACCAGGATGCAATCGTGGTCGCCGCCATGACGGAGAAAGGAGTCGGGCATGAAGGAGGTGAGTAGGGACACCTGTCGGTTTGCCTGAGCCACCTCCATTTTCCTCAGCTCCATCTCAATGGCCTGGACACACACAGGCAGATTTTTTGGTTTTTAAAAAGATAAGAACGTAAGACAGAATCGGTGAACTCAGATCATCATCATCATCAGGACTTTACTTAGACCTGTCTAAAGCTCTAGACATAAGCTCTCAGTCAGTGGTTTCTCAGACCACACCATCAGCTGGTTTTCTAATTACCTTTCAGATCGAAGGCAATGAGTTCAACATAACGATACTTCTTTATTTAACTGTCAATAATGGTGTACCACAAGGCTCAGTCTTAGGTCCCACCCTCTTCACAACATCGACATCATCCATCCATTTCTTGTAAAGGAGTCCTCATGACTCAATGAGACCAACCTGTATAAATAAAGGTTGAATGAATCACATTCATCTCCTACCTTGGCATAAGCTTTGGTTTCTGCAAACTTGATCTTGAAGTCGAACAGCTCTGCCGGCGGCTGCTGAGGTTGTTCGGTGTTTGCACTCTGCTGACTGACCAGCTCTCTGTTGGCCTCCTGATGTACAGAAAAGAGTCGAGTAATCTTCCTCCTCAGTTCATCCTCCGCTCCTCTTCCGTCAACTCACCTGCAGCGAGGCGGTGAGCTCCCTGTACTTGTTGATGGTCTGCTGGTAATCAGCTACGGTCTCCTGAGCTGCTTCCACCTTCTTTTCTGCCTCTCTGACCTTCGCTCCACTCAGGTCCACCTGCTCCCTGAGCTCCATCTCGGTCTCCCTGGCGTTCTCCTGCAGCTCGTCGTTCATCTCGTTGATGGCTTCCTGTTAGTGCAGAAAAAGCAGGATTGGTTTTTATTTCCCTTTCATGCCTTGTTTTTACTTTCAAAACTATTTTTTTATGTTCATCTGCTCCTTTAGGTCGACTATTAGTTTCGTTGGTGAAAAATTATCACAAAACTCAAAATAAACGACACATTCCAATGAATGTTTTACAATAATAAACATGAGTTTAAAAACAAGTTTCAAGCTTTGACTGATAATTTAGTTTTCTCTTTAAGATGGCAAATAAATTCACAACTAAATTATTTTCTAAAGATTGTCACAAATATTGACTTAAGCTTCACCATCGTTGGTGATCTGTTGTGACTTGGCGCTATATAAATAAACTGAGAATTTTCACCATCATACTTTCTGGTGGAAATCTGGACACCGACTTGACTCATCGAAAAAAGCATTCCGAGATTAAAAATAATCAAAACACTTTACAGGAAATAATCAATAAAAACTTTGACAGGTTCAACTACAATGTTCCAACGACCCATGGTTATTTTACTGACATGAAAACAGGCGGTAATTAGGCACGTCACAATAAATTTTGTTGCCGATTAATTGTCTCAGAAATTATTGCGATAAACGATAGTATTGTTTGAAATTTGACAAATAAGTAATTATTGTCAAGTTTAAGAAGAAATGTTGGTTAATTTTGAGCGTAGTGCCTTTTTTGACCACTGGATGGCAGTATAAGACTGAACCGAAGGATGGATAGTGAGGGAGCGAGCAGCATTAACGATCCAAAAACGCGATGTTAGATGGTTAAAGCAGATTTTAAAGAGAAACGAGAAAGGGAGGGGTCAGTGAAGAGCACTGGAGTTGAGCCTTTTGTCATCCAGTGTCTTCAGTAGAAAGAGAGAGACACGAAGAAACGATGAAGCCGATAAACGAAATTGGAGGTCGATAATTTTCATTGATCGTGCGATTAATTGATTTATTGTTCATCGCGACCGGCCTAGCGGTAATTAAAAAAAGTTAAACTTTTGCACCGACCAGATCAGTGACGGTCTCCCTCAGCTCTCTGACTTTCTCCTCCAAGTCGAGGTTCCTCTCAGTTAGAGTCTCCACCATCTCCTCTGATCCCAGAGCTGCGTCCACCTGAAGGTACAAACACAAACACCTGTTTTAGCCTCAAGTTCAACTCTATCAACATTAAACTTTGATGCTTTTATATTCTTCGTAACTGCGCAAGTCTGCATACGAGAAACATTTTTCAATGCAACTTTAAAAGCCGTCCTCTGCAACCATGAAGGGAGGTCTTCCAGGCTTTACCTGCTCCTTCAGTTCATCGATGGTGGCCTCAGCCTGCTTGAGTTCTTCTTGCAGTTTTTCTTTCTGAGTCCTCAAAGTCTCCCGCTCCGTGTTGTTCTTCTCCACGTGCTTCTGCAGCTTCACGTGTTCTTGTTTCTCTGAGGCAGACAGGTCACGCATCCTGACGAAGAACAGAGGAGCAGTTTACATTTAGACGGGGTTCCCTGACAACTACAGTGCGTGATGGGGCAAACAAACAAAATGTACAAAGACGTGGTTTGTTGTTTAAATTATTTGAATATCTTTTGTAAAATACAGATTAAATCTTGGTATCCTTGAAAGTATAGGCCTTTAAGCATTTCAACCATTCAGCCGATTTAAAGGGGGAAAACCAGCCCCAGGGTCGTTTAGTACAGTAGTGTGTACAGCACTGAACACGGAGCAGAGCCGTCTGAAGAGCTCAGAAAGAAGAGTTTAGAAGTCTATAAAGGCTACGAGCCCATCTCCAAGCAGCTTCATGTTCTGACTACAGCTGCCAGTGTCATTAAAATGTTCATGGAACAGCAGCCAATCTCCCAGGGCGTGGACGCAAGAGGAAATGCAACCCCGGGTTGATAAAACTGAAAGTGTGAAAAGCAGAAAGAGTCAAGGACATCATGGAAAACCTTTCAACCTCAACTCCAAGGTCAAGGTACGGGTTTTATTTTTTTTATTTATTTTTTTTTAATCACACATTGTATTTAGAGTCAGAATTGTCTTAATGGAAAAAAAAAAAATCAGAAGGGCTCCATTGTTGACACAAAATATACATAATATACATCCCTGTACCGACAACATCAAAATGTGGGTGGGATAGGTGAAGCACCCACACCTATCTCCACCCTCATTTGCTCCACTCTGGACCCTTAAGCAAGGCACTTAACCCCCACCATCTGCTCCCCCCCGAGCGCCCTAGATGGCAGCTCTCTGCTCCACACAGAGGTGTGGTAGCTCGGTGCTCTGTAGTTGTGTCAGGAAGGACATCCAGCATAAAAGCAAACAAACAAACAAACAAACAAACGCCAAGTCTTTGGGCGAGTTATTTCGCTGTGGCGACCCCTGAAGAAGGGAGCAGCCGAAAGAAGGAAATAAAAATAAAAATTTGTAAGTGGGCCAACAGGTTCATCCATGTCTGTGTACAGGAAGTGACTTTCTGGAGCTGTTCAGGAGTAAATGAGTTTTTAAAAGGCTAATGTTTAGTTAAGATGAGCGACGGCCCATTACCTGACCAGTGCCTCCTTCAGCCTGTTGTTCTGCTCCTCCAGCTGCTTGACTTGATAACTTGACGCAGCTCCATCGGTTCCTGCATGAGAGAGTCATTACGCCAACACTGATCAGACAGAGTCAGTGCTGTTCAGTTCTCCTCTCACCTTTCTCTGAAATCTCGTGCCTCAGGATCTCTAAATCCATGGAGAGCTCCTCCACCTTCTCCTTCAGCGAGTCCACCTCCACTTGCAGGGACTCTGCTCGCTCTTCAGCCATCTCTTTGTCCAGCGTGGCCATTTCGATAGCATCTGCCGTGTCCGCCATCTCCTCCATGTAGCGGTCTTTAGCCTCCTGGGCCTCCCGGGCTTCCTGCGTGTGAAGGTGAACAGGTAACGTGACTGAAGACGCACGTAGGACTTGCAGCCCCTACAGATCGTTCCCGTTACATCAGAGCACCTTCTTGGCCTCTTTGAGTTGTTTCTGCAGCTCGGCCTGCTGCTCCTGCATTTTGCTCTTCCACTCCTGCAGCTGCTCCAGCTGAATCTTGTACTTCTCCAGTTCCTTCAGCTTAGCCTTGTCATCCGTTCGCTTCATCCTCAGCGTCTCCAGCTTCTCCTCCAGGTCTTTGACCTGAGCTCGCAGAGACTCTTCCTCCTGAGGAAGGATCAAGTGCAGGGAGGAAGAGGAGAGAACACGGGAACGCAAGATAAGCACATTTTATAAACTTACTTAATTTGTTTCAACAAGATTTTATTTTATGGTAGAAACGTAAATATAGGAAGTTGTAATTGAGTCTCGACACGAAAACAAAACATTTATTTATTCAATTTACTCCCTGAACAAAGAATGAAAAGTAAAAACAAAACTATAATCTGGTGATCACGTGATCCGGTTACGTGACTTGCGAGAGAGCGGAGCAGAGCAGAGCAGGGAGCGGGAGAAGTTAACGCTGCGTTTTAACCGGTTGCACAATGGCGTCAGGCTCGACAGGAGCTGACACAGCTGAAAGTTTGGTACCAAAGAGGAGCAGCACGTCCGCCGTTTGGAATTATTTTGGTTATTAAAAAAAAAAGAAGACGCTGTGCAACGACATGTATTGTTCAGAACCTGCCTTTCTGCTGTTACTACCTTTCAAGGTAACACCACAAATCTTTATCAACACTTTAAAAAAGCCATTTACGATGGTTGCATGGCTAGAACGCCAACGACCGGTGCTTCAACTTCAACTAGACAAAGTAGCAGCTGACGGGGATCACTGACCGAACTGTTCGAAGGCGTTACTCCGTATGAACATCATTTGAAACGGCACACGGAAATAACTCGAGCAACAACGGAGTTCATTTTGAAAGACATGATGCGCATTAGTACAGTGACCAAGACTGGGTCTACGGCTTTGATAAGCACAATGGATAAGCGGTACAGAACGCCCTAACGAAACAAACCATTTTGCAGTAGGTACTGTGCACTACACAAAAGACTCGTTGTCTTTATCAATATTTTTCCCACAGTTGTGACTGGGACTGTGTCTTATGAAGCTTAATAAACTTTATTAATGTCGCACCACCTCTCACGTTCCACTCTTAAGACAGCACAGATAAATGAGTTTTGACCCGTGGTTCGTCTCAGGGAAGGAGGCTGAAGTCAGTCGAATATGCAGCTCGCACACGATTACACACGTCGTGAAGGCGGCGCAGCTGAAGAGGATTAATATTCCATCCATCCATTATCTTTACCCGTTTATTCCATTTTAGGTCACGGGGGTCGCTGGTGCCCATGTCCAGCAATCACTGTGCGAGGGGCGGGGTACACCCTGGACGGGTCGCAAGTCCATCACAGGGACACACAGAGACAAACGAGACAAACAACCATTCACTCTCTCACTCACACCTAGGGACAATTTAGAGTTACCAATCAGCCTAACATGCATGTTTTTGGTCTGTGGGAGGAAACCGGAGTACCCGGAGAAAACCCACGCATGCACGGAGAGAACATGCAAACTCCACCCAGAAGGCCCCTGGACCGGGGTTTGAACCAGGGACCTGTTCGCGGAGAGGCTGCAGCTCTACCAGTTGCGCCACCGTGCTGCCCGGATTAATATTCAATATATGTAAATAGTTTATTTTTTAGACATTTATTTTGTACAGTTACAGCCGTTTGTTAATAAACGTGACAATTGAGACAAAGCTTTGACTCAGAAATATATTTTTGTTATAACTTTATGGAAAAAAATATTGATATATATCATATATCGCCATTCATCTTAAAATATCAAGATATTAATTTTGGTCCATATCGCCCAGTCCAATAAAACAGTAACAACACGGATGAAATGGAACAAAACCACCGAGGAGATGAACAGGATGCAAAAGTTAAACAACCTGACGAATAAGAGTCTGGACCCACCTTGCTGGAAGTAGTTGGGACCGGGGCAGCTGCAGGTGACGGGGTGACGGGGGCCCTGAGGGCTCCCTGCTGAGAGAGGCTCCCCTCGCCGACGTCTCCGGACACAGAAGGCGAAAGACTCTCGCGAGATGCCTGTCGATACAGACGGAGGCGTTTCAAAGAGTGGCGAGAAAATCTGAACCCAAGTGCAAGAGAGGAGACTGTGATCCAATAAACCAGAGAGGTGTTAGCAAGAGTCCACCACAGCGAGCATGCAGCTTAACGTAGTACCTCACTGGGACTAGTGGAGACAAAACTGTGAGAAAAATACAACAATTTTACCTGAACTGTCCTTTTGACGCATTCGCAAAAATTCCCGACTAAATTTGCAGGTTTGAGATCTCGTGCAACAAAACTGATCGTTTCTGGAACTTGAGACGGTCGCGACAGTTCTGCTGGACTATATGAACAACTCCTCGGTCCCCTCCCCCACAACAAACACGTTACCGTATTATTGGGACTGTAAGGCGCAACATCAATGAACGGGTTTTCGTACATAAAGGTGCACCAGGTTATAAGGCTCACCGTCGATTTTTGAGAAAATTAAAGGATTTTAAGTGCGTCTCAGTCTGAAAAATAGTTGGTTTGTTTGTATGAATTCAGCTTTTGCAAACATTTTCATAACCTTTAATGCTTTTAATAAATAATCAATATTCAATAACCTAAAAAAAAAAAGATTGACAAAAGTGCTACAATGTAAAAAAAATTTTACGATAGGATAAAACAGGAAGTAAACAAAATTATTTGTTTTTAAATGATTAAGGGGCGACTTAAACTAATCCTGCTTCGATTTGAACAAGTATTGTCCTAATTATTTATTCAATTTGTTTCGTATTACATGATCAAAATAAACCTGATTGAATCAAATTGTCACAATAATTTTTTTGATATAATGTGCATTTTATTTTGAAAGTGCAATACTTACTGTGTCACGTAAAAAAAAAAGAAAAGTTTTCACAGAAAACGCAGCAGCAGAATTATAGAAGCTAAACGGAGATCGGTTTGAGACCGTCGCGACTAGTGATCTGTTTCGCAGATTGTTAAACGTTCAGAATTCCAGTGACAGGAGAGCACGCTGAAACTGGGAATCCTGAGAAGAGTTTGTAAACTTCTTTGCACTTTTATATTTTGTCTCCAACAGTCGGAGCCCAGTGAGAAACCGTCCTTTAAAGAAAAGAAAAACACAGTGAAGCCTGAAAGATTTACTAAAGGTTTTGTGACAATCCTTGATTTGCTTCCAGGAGAAACTACATCAGCTCCCCAAGTCCAACACACTCCCCCAGGGTCCAAAGCACCAGTGCCATAGAGGGTACAAGATGGACCGTGTTCGCAGCACACCCCCGTGAGGCCGCACGAGGCGCTCGGACACAAAGAGCGTACCCGGAGCATCAGGCTGGAGGGACGAACCAGAAGGGAGGGGAGGGAGGTGGCAGGAGCGAGGCGTGGAAGGCTCAGCTGCCAGAGTCATTACAGAACATCTCAATGTTGGAGTTAGCAACAAATAAACACATGAACACATAAATCCTACTCTCATTCTTCGTTCCAATAGCATGAATTAGCATTCACACGATTGTGATCCTTTTTTCTTCTGTTTCAACAAATCAGGACAATCCTGCTGTGACTTTTCGTATCGGTGCAACTTCAGCTTTTTGAAATATTTAGCCTTTTCTGCCATTTTTTTTTAAATCTCATGGAAAATGAATTGAGCTCATTTTACATCCTTTAGATCTTTTTACAACCTTTTACTGCTCCTTTCACGTTTTGTTCTGCTTCAGCTTCTTTCTGCAGATTTAAAATGTTTTTCGGCTACTTTTGGCTGCTTTGTGCTCCTTTCAGCTTCTTTCTGCCAACTGCAACATTTTTGTGCTTCTTCTAACTTATTTCTAATAATTTCCACTTGTTAGGCTCCTTTCAGCTTTTTCCAGCTACTACCATTTAGCTGTTTTATGCTAATTTTAGGTTTTTTTTGGCTAATTTCACATTTTTGCACTAATTTAAACTTTTTTCAGCCCAATTCAGCAAAAACGTGCTCACGCCACTCCTTTCTGACAATTTAAGTTTTTTTAGCTACTTTTCAACAGGTTTTTTGCTTATTTCAGCTTTTTCTGACAATTTCCCCTTTTGTGTGTTAATTTCTGCTTCTTTCAGCAAACATGTTCTTTCTGCTTTCTTCTGCTAATTTAAGCTTGTTCTATCTTTTGGCTACTTTTCAAAAGTAAATTCCAGTTTTCATGGTAATTTCTGCTACTTTCGTCCTAAATAACTTCTTTCTGCTAATTTCAGCTTTTTGAGAGTTTTTGCCATTTCAGCTACCATTTAGCTGTTTTGTGCTAAATTTAGCTTTTTCAGCTAATTCCACATGTTTTAGCTCATTTCAGTTTCTTCCACTTTCATCTGGTAGTTTTAAGATTCTTTCAGCCTTTTCAGATTTTCTTTTTGCTAAATTTAGCTTTTTCAGCCGATTTCCTGATTTTTGTGCTAATTTCTGCTTATGTAAACCTCATGCAGGAAATGTGTGTTCTTTCTGCTTTCTTCTGCTAGTTTAGGCTTGTTCATCCATTTCTGCACGTTTCATTTAGCTAATTTCAGCTGTTTTCAGCAATAAGCTTTTACACTGCAGTTTCGCAGGAAACGCAATTTCTCTAGTTTAGTTGGAGAATGCATTTCTGATCATTTATCAAATTTACAATATTCTTTTGATTCAACAAGCATCCCTACAAAAACAAACACTCTACAACACGCCCTTTGACCTCTGCTGTCCTGTTTCCTGTAAACAAGCTCACCTTTGCAAAGCGACGGGTAGAGGGCTGGAGAGGAGGAAGTGAGTTGGAGAAGGGTGAATTCAAACGCACACGCAGGCAAGGAAACACACACACATTCAGCCATGAGGTGCAAGAGTAGATTAGCAACAGGAGAGAAAGCTTCTCATCAGTTAGTTTGTATTGATCAATTATAAAGTTGCATGCATTAGCTAGAACTCCGAATGGTTATTTAGGTGACCTGAACGGAATAAAGCAATAAAAACAGTTTGAAGCCACAGAAATGTCAACTCAACATGGCGACGTTATGATTTCTAAATGTGCACAGGACGCCTTCGCCCAAATAAAATGTCTACAAGGAAAAAAGTGGAAACTAGAAAAACAAATTATTGATGGTGGATTATTTATTTATGTGCCAGGCAGATGCCAACAGATGAAGATGGGCACTTAAAAGCAAAAGATGAGCTGCTACGTTAGTGACATGTACACAAGTGCTGAATTTAAACATCTGTACCTTCTTAATGTTCGCTGGTGTCTGCAGAAAAAAACGAGTTCAGAAAAGAAAAAAAAAACATGAACCTAAAATCAGGTTAAATCTACATCTCGAAAAGTACTAAATAAATAAATAAATAAAAGTGTTAGGAGGGATCAAAATAAAAAGCAGTCAGTCAAAGCTGGTTTCATTCCAGCACTTTCTGCTGTTAGCACCTCTGGAAAAATAATTTCAATGTAAACATGAACGACGTATTTATCGAGTGTACACAAACGACACGCTGCAGAAAATCATGACTATCAGACAAAACATTACAAATAAAAATAATTTCACAAAGTTCAAATTTGCAGTTTGTTACCTGCTTGGTTGTTTTGGGAGTCTCGGAAACATCTGGAAATGACAACAGTTATTATTGTTTACCACTTTAATGTTTCAGAAACACAGCTGTCAGACCTCCGGGGGTCAATTCTCACCTTTTTGTTTGAGTGGCTTTGCCCCGCTGGACTCGGGGGTCTCTGGGGAGGCGCTACCCGAGTCATCCACCACCTGGATCTGTAGAAGTTAAAGTTTAATTACAATATTTATTATATAAGGCTGTAACTTTTGTAAATACTCAGATTTCTCATTTATCCAAATACATTGCGTCACTAACCTGAGACGATCGGACAAATATCCCGTGATTCTCCTCGCAGGTGAAATAGCGCTTCCCCTGCACCGTGCCGTCGTTCTTGCCTTTAGCCTCATCCAGGATGACGCCCACCCATTTGCCCGAGGCAAAGAGGGTGGCGCCGATGTAGGCCACAGTCCCTCGCTGACCCTTCCCCGTCACCTCGACTACTGAGCCGACCTGAGACGAAACAAGACGAGGGAAAAACGGTTGCAACAAACTCATCGGTAACGGAAATGAACTGGCATCTACGCATTTTTGCACGTTTCCTTGTGTCCGAGGAAGAAACGCACCTTTGGAGGTTTAACGCTCTCCACTGTTCCGCCAGAGCTCATTTTGCTGATCAATGGGCTGGTCAGCTGAGGAACATGGAGAGTAAAGATTAAATAAATAAAAGGTAAAGAAAGAGGAAACAAAAGTAAAGTTACGATTGTGAGATAAGATGAAAAGAGGCGGGAGACAACGACTTGTATTGTTTATACTCGGTTTCTTCTACATGGCATTTTTAAGTGTTTCTTGAACAAAACACATTGCGTCATAAAAATAAATATAACCCACTATAGAAATGGCTATAAGTCAGTCCATTTCACATGTACGGAGCTAAAATTTGGTGTAGTAGTAGCAGCTGAGAGTCATCCTCAACTCATATTCTGAGCAAACAAGATCTTTGCCTAGCTTGGCGTTAACTGTTGGGAACATGAACTGTCACCAGTCTGACGAAACTCCCAGAAGATAAGCACTGAAGTTATTTAAATTTTAAAATCCGCCCATTTCAAGCCGGCCACCACAGTTAAATCAAACTTAGAGGTAGAGGTGAAAACATGTCAGCAAATTTTACAGATATTTTGCAAAAATCAAGTGGAGTACGAGCCATGAGTTATTCCCATCACATATCCTAAACACTAAGAGATTGTGCAGGATCTCAACATTTTGCTCAATCGTGACATTATTATAAAGAGTCCACCAAAAAGGTTAAACCTCTATCATTTGTAATCTTTGACACAAAAGCTGTTGGACAATATGAATTTCCTAAAGGAATGCTAAGCCTTTCTTTCTTTTATTTAGGAATTTCTAACATTTAAATGATCTGCAAAGGGCCTAAATAAACACTAGGGTTTAGTTTTTATAGCTAATATTTTGTAACTCTTTCTACTCAGTCTTAAATAAATAATAAAAAGATAAAAAATAAAACTTAATACGAGCGTCCTCGGGCACCCTCACAGACCCAGTCATATGTCCAGGGACACAACAAACATTCTTATAAAGTGGCAACATCTCAGACAAAGAAGGTCATTCAACACAAACTAGGTCTGCGTTAAGAGGCTGCTCCTTAGGAGAGTTCACGCGGTTTTAAATTAGCCAGCAGACAACAATCTGAAGTATTACCTGACGTTGTTAGATGCTTGCAAACAAGTTAAGACTCATCAGTAACTTTATACCTTTAACCAAATTATTTTACAGATAAAACGTAATTGTAATACGTTTGACTCATTGAAGAGATAAGCACAAAGATGAAGTCCAACATGAATGGTGAGTACATTTTACTAACACAGTACAGTTAATTATAACTTGTTTCAATGCATCTGTATGTTAAATAATTAAACATTAATATTATGAGCTCATGTTACTCACCCTGGGAGAGTAAGAATGTCGTCTGTTCAAAGCCATAATTATTACAACCTTGTATTCGTTTCACCTCCAGTGCAAAACTGAAGACTCTAGCTTTACTTTTATTTCTCTACTTTTCCATGTCTGTCTTTTGCTGATAAAGATCAGCCAGAAGAGCAAGTGAGGCTTTTAGGGCGGGGTCTTTGTGGTGAATCACAAAACGTCACAGCAGATTCGAGCTGAAAAACACTGAGCTAAACATCCTGATGCTGAAAAACACTGAGCTAAACATCCTGATGCATGCTCATCCGAGCTAAACAGTGTCTTCTACAGGAACAATATATACTTTAAAAATTAAACGTGCCATCTCACTTAAATGTTGCAGATTAAGAGGTGTCTAGATAAAAAGAAAAAAAGGTTGTAAAATCAACAAATCAGGTTAAATCGTGTCATCTGGACCAGTTTCTTTGTTTAATGAAACTGTTTCTCACAAAGATGACACGATTTAAGCTTATTTTGTTGTTAGGCGTCTTGATCGTTTAATCATCTAATCCAAATTACAGCAAACACAAGCTAAACATTTTCACTTAAAAATAGTAGTATAGCAAACTATGCTATGTAACAACAATTTTAGTACGCATTAAAAACTGTTGTCTCTGTCAACGAAAATTATTAGCGAGAACTGTCTAGCCTGTTAGCTAAATTTAGCTAAGGCTAGCAGGCTAAAACAGACAACACTCCTGCTACATTTTATATTGCAAAATAACGAACACATTCAAACACAAATTACTTTTAAACATTTTAACACATGATTCAGTTTGAATTAATTGATGACAGCTAGCTAACATTAACCCACTAGGTTAGCGAGTCAATAAAAGACAAAATAAACCACTTTATTAAGCTAAAACAAGGTAAATACGTAATAGTGTTGCTCACCTTCACAAAGACACAAATATTTGTCTTTAAATTGGGTTTTATTTCGTGTTCATGCAAATATACCGTTATCCCGTTTTTTTAATGCCGATCTCTCCAAACCGACAGTCCGTACTTCCGGTTTTATACGTCATTTCCTGCAGGTAAATGGGAATGTCGTAAACTAGCGCCCCCTGTGGTCAATTGCACTAACTACCTGTGTGGCTGTGTAAGTCATTTAACTGACCGGTACTACTTTAATATAAAACTTTACAAAATATTCAAATTATTATAATTTTCTTAGTTTATATTTATTCTATATTTTTCATGAATGATGTTTTATTTTACTGTATTCATTTATGGTTAATTGTTATAGGGACAAAAGTTAAATATTTATAAATAATATACTCTAAAACATTTATCCTCGGCTAAATTGCAATGCTCATCCCTAGAAGGGCCTTTGGCAACACAAAAATAAACAGTTTAAAAAGAATCAAACATCACTAGATAAAAACAAATCACAATGACATCTACAAAGAGTGTCTGTTAGTCATGACAGTAAAACTGGTTCTCCATTAGAAACTGCATCTTGACAATTTTTCATCAAAGAAAGAACATAGATATTATAGACTTTAGACCTGATTGAAGAAGTTAGCCTTAAATTATTATTTTTTTAAATAAATATACAAAAAAAAAAATCTTGTACCAAAACAACACTCAAACTATTCATGATCTAACACTTTTATTTGATTTTCAAGCTATTGAAACAGATTTGGAATAATTATAAATATAATATAAATAAGTATGTCTTTTATTTTTTTCATGTTTATTTGAAATGTGTTAAAAAATATTCTACAGTAATCGTTGACAGTGATGAGCCAGAGGTCCGTCCTCAGGCGACCAATCAGGAGGCGGAGGAGAGGCTGAGTCTGCAGCCACCGGCAGGCGGTCACATCGGCCTCGGGCTGCAGCTCAGTCCCGACACCTCTGACAGCGATCGGATCAACTTCCAACTTTACACCTTCGCTTGTTTACACGGTTGGTAGCTTTTGTTACGATTTATTTACACTTTTAAAACACTTTTTGTTGATAAATATTTGCTGGATGTGTTTTTTTCAGACTTTCTTTCAAGCTAGCTAGAACACAGGTTTGCACTTCCGGTTTTGACTTTCAACATAAGGAATTACGTATTTTAGAGTTTAAAAACAAAATATATTAGACCTTCTGTTAGATGCAGACGTTCCACTTTCCACCTGGAAAGCTTCTAGAATTCGTAATGATCTGGTGACTGATGACCTACACGAAAAAATACACCGTTGGTCGTTTTATTTTGAAGGTTGGACGAATGTGTTTCCGTTATGCTAATAACACATTTAAGCTAACTTTATCTACGCTTAATACCGGTTTTGTCAGGAGGATTTACTTTCGATGTCGGTGAAACGGGTGTGTACTGGGTCTGGTTCGTTCAGCCGGCGTCATTTAATTCGTGTTAAGGATTTATGAGCATTTTTGTTCTTAAAACGCTAAAAAAAAAAAAGTTAAGTGAACAAAAAGCGAAATAGTTTTGGTCCTAGTGGAGGGCGTGGGAGCCTGAGTGACACGTGACGTCATTCCTCCGCCCGGTCTGCTCAGGTAGCATCGTACAAAAGTGCATTTTATTTATTTTAAGGACATTTATTGAGTGTTCATTCCCGCTTGTTTACAGCTTTGGTTTAATATTAGGAGGTTAAAGCTGCTGCTCGTTGGGGTGTGTCTCCATGTTCACATTATTTACCAGACATGAGTTAAATGGCTCCCTCTCACCTGTTCCCTGTTGTCATTTAGCCCTCAGCTCCTCTCAGCACTCCTTCACGTCACCTTCAGTGCGTTCATGCCACGTCCAGTTCTCCTCTGTGCCTCCTTGAGTTTTGTTTTCCTGTTGCTCTTGCGTCAGCCTTTTGTTTAATAAAGTTTAAGTTTCTATTTTTATAAAGCTCGTATCGTGCAGCGCTCTACAAACCCTAACCTTTATCTATTAAATGTATATCTGTTTTATCTAGATATGTTTCCTCTTGCTCTAAATGTTTTTTTATCACTTTCACCCAACGTGATTTTATGTAGATAAATATGTTTTCCACACTTAAAACTTTTAAATAGTTATTTAGCAAGACAAAGAGACTACAGGTGTTTATTGAAATGTTTTCAGGGCTCAACATTTCATTGCGCTGAAAATACTGATCAATTTTTTTTTTCTTGTCTCCGAGTCCAGGTTTTTTGTGTGAATGATTATTATCGCTCCGCTGTGATCCATTTTTCTTCCGTACGCTTTTTGGCAACTTTCTCGTTCCACAGTTTTTGCACTTTTCCAAC